GCGCCAAGGCTCTGGACTCCTGAACCTCAGCAGATGGACGCTATTCTACTCAGGCGTCGATAACACGACGCGCGCTCAGGTTGGTGTTAGTTTTCTGGTAGAACCCTGTCAGTGGAAGAGTGGCAGTTTCCCGACTGAAGCTACAACAAACTAAAGTGCTGCAATTGTCACTGGTCTCTGCGCCCAATTTAGAGGGAAAATATGCCTCCTTCCTTGAGGAAGCATCTCTGTATGAAGTGCCGAATACAGAGTCCCTCATTCTCATAGGCGATGTTAATACGTACGTCAGAGCAGAGAGAGAGAAGTGTGATTGAAAAGAACGGCCCTAGTGACCTTAGAGCAGAATGAAGTTGTGGTTTCAGCTTATAACTGATCCTGTGCAACAATCTGTGGGTACGCCTGTGAAAACATGGAATGGATGACGAGTTACTATGATCCGTTGAATCACTATATGCTTATAGTAGGTGCTGCGTCAGAGTAAATGTGGCATTAAATCGAAACCTTTCAGCGTTGGCACTGGTCCCGTCCTTCACTTGTTCTGTTTTTGTTGTACGTAGACAGAATAGTCAGGAGCAACCAAGGCGATGAGGGTATCGGTGTAGGAGATGTGAAGTCGAGAAAGTTGTTGTTTGCAGACGACCTTGTTTTATTAGCATCCTCTGAAACTGATCTTCAGTGCTCTTTAGAAAGGTTCGCCGCCGAGTGCAAGGACAGTGTGACCGGCATGCATGTGAATGCAGCTAAAACGAAACGCCCAGTGCTTGCTGGTTCTAGTCCCCGTTACTCTCTTGACATTAACTGGAGGCAATGGAGCAGGCAGGGAAGTTCAAGTACGTCTGAGTCGTGATTACTGGTAAATTTGAGGGAGAGATCGACAGGCGGAATGGAGTAGCCAGTGGCGTTCTGCGTGAATTAGCCCGAACCATTGTCAAAAAGCAGAGCTCAGTCTGAAAACTAAGCTTCAAGTCGATCTTCATTCCCATGCCTACCTACGGACATGAGTCGTGGTCGATGACTGAAAAGCTTCGAACCCGGGTACAAGCTAATGAAGCAGAATTTCATAGACGAGTCACTAGCCTTACGCGTCTCGACATGGTCCGGATTATTGATATCCGAGAAAGCGTTGGTGTACAGCCTTTACTTCTTCAGATAGAGAAGTCACAGCTGCGATGGTTTGGGCATGTGTTGCGAATGCCTCCAGAAAGGAAGGCTAAACAACCGTTTCATGCGAAACCGACCGGCAGAATGCCTAGGAGACGGGAAAGATTAACCTGGTGCAAATATATCGAATCAGCCTGCTCCAGGCTCCAAGTGTCCTCTGCCAAAGCTCATACTATGGCATTGGATAGGAAACGCTGGAAGCACTATGTGACGCGTCTGATTCCACGACGCCAAAAGGAGAAAAGGTTATGGAAGATGAAGAGCAAGAATGAAGAACATTTAAAGAATCTTCTGTTATTTCTCGGGATTTACAGGATGTGGTCACACATCCTCTTTCCCAAAGGATGGTTTTTTAAGCAGGCAACGGCTCCATGATATCTTATAACCTGCAGTACACTGATGCAGAACCGCATCACTGTGCAGGGCGGAACGAAAAAACCTGTTTGAACATCTATGAAATGCTATTATCGGTAATCATATAAACAAGCAAATAACACCGGGTATTGTATGATTACTACCAATCTACTAGTTTAAGATACCGCCGGTAAGAATAACAATATCATGTTAATCGTTCGAACTTTCCCCAGGAGGTGCTGAAATAGTATTGAGTCACACCCTGCTTAAACGGTGTCCTAGGTAATCGGAATTAAGGGAATGGTTCATCTACACCGTATAAAATTCGCAGAATTGACAGGAGTTGGTTATTCCTACCGGCGATATTAGAAATTACTATTTTGCTAGTAAACCCAAAACAGCGGGATTATTTTGTGTAGACATTTCAAACAGCTGCTACGATACGATGATCTTTTGCCATGAGCACGAAAATGGTCAGCTCATAACGAATTGACAACTATGGGATGATCTTAAGTTTATTTTCGTGTCATACAGAAAAATGCCCCAACTACAAGTCTGGACAAAAGTTGGGACCACTGCAGTATTAATCATGCACGAACACGAGCCAAATCTTTTCTGACTCTTTTATAAAGGTCAAAGTCAAAAACAACACGCCATTTACGGCTTGCATCTAACATATATCCGCACAAGACTCCATGCGAATAACGTAATTCCTTGTAAATAAGTAAAATACTGTATAACGAACTGGAAGACAGCGCGAGTGAACAAAACTATGCCACTAAAACCACACAGAGACGGAAATATACGCGCTATGTTATGCGTAAGAAAGTCATAAGAAAATATGCAAATGTGCAATACAAAAATCAAATGAATGAAAGAAGAAACCTTAGGAATTCGTTAGAAATTAATCTAAGCGTATTTAAACTTTACGTACATCATAGTAATTAATCAGATCCACAGAATTTATATAATAGAAAGTATCTTATAAACAGTACTTGCATGAAAAGGAAACTTACCTCTAATAAGGATACTCCAGTACCCGAACGAGAAAGGGCAACGGATTTATTAAAGAACACATTTAAAGGTAATACAGTAAACAAGTTGAAATATAACCTAAGCATCAGTATGTATTACGACAACTATCCCTTTACTTAAAGAGTAAATATCGAATTAATTGACATTAATTTTTTGTTTTTTTAAATTTTTTACACACTGTGCTGACTTTTGATCATTTGCAAATTAGTCATCGTACGCATACATGGCTGTATATCCTATACGCTTTAGCTAATCCACTCAAAGCATCACGCTTTGCCCATTATTAACAGGTATATGACCGGTGGGGTTTTTTTCGTTTTATGTAGTCAAGAACAATGAAAAAAATTCCATGCTCAAGGCAACTAGCAAATAATAATGGAAAATTTGCACCGCGCTCTACGTTTGAATCAAGACTCCGGGGTACAATGTAATGCACTAATCATCAGCGTCACTGCCACTTCTATTTCTTGCTGCTTGAACATACAAAAAACTTAGGACAACAATAGTAAATAGCGGAAAGCCTAAGTAGAGGATAAGCAGCAGGCTGATTGAATACATGTTCACACTCTCTGTCAGTTGGCGATGATGTCTCTTTGAAGATGCGAACCCACGCTGGAGTGATTATTCTTCGTCGTTCACTCCGACGGGGAATAACTTTTTGATTTTATACCGGAATATCTGCACTGGGTTAAGAATGTGCACAGTTGGTCGGTGCGTTCGATTTCTTGGTCCAGCTAGACTCTCCACTTGTGACTGGTGCTAAGCGGCTGCGTCTGAATGTATGCTTTCAACTTTGCATACTTGTGAATAAATTGGTGATCTAAGAATTTTTTCATTTTCACGAATTTTCGATAATTCTTGTGCAATAAACTCTTTACTCTTCAACCTACCCCTTCAACGAAACATTTTGACGAAGTTATAATGCAGAAACTAGCAATGTGCGACTTACTTAATGGCTAGAGACGTCACAGACAGAACGCAATGAGCTGCATGAAAGTTGCCTGATAATGTCGCCATTTATGTCAGTCCCGTCTACCTTGTCTACAAATTACCGGGCTCGTGTCATCAAGATCGATGTACGTCAGCAAATATGGAAAATACCTCTAATGTCCAGCCCTCACGTACCTTCTCGGTCGGGAAATTGTTTCCTAAAATAATATCGAAGACGCTATTATTTGTAATAACTATTAGTCGCGCACAATCGATATGGAGAAAAGATTGCACCATCCTTTTTAGTGCAGTCCTGTAGATCGAATGCTTTTCATTTCTTCATCTAGAATGAGATTTGCTCCGTGTCGTGTCAGCTAAATTGGCAGAACAAAGATTTGTCAGCGAATGGATTCTCTAGTGATCGAAACAATCATACGGTTAGCGTTGTGAAGTGATGTTGACCATCATTGCACGTTTCCAAAGGGATTATAGTATATACAGGAACACAAATCTAAGTAAATGTTTCCACGCACTTACAGGACTACACTCCAAGCGCCGTTCTGCCATTTATGTCCAAAACTTTCAGGGCTTAAATAGAGAAAGAGAACAGACAAAATGACTGCTCAAAGCCTTGAACAACTTTCAGTGATGAAATGCGTTTTTGTACAATTTGTTCAACATGAAAATTTAATTCATTAGCATCTTCATGCCAATGGGTGCAGATTAAAACTGTTGACAAGCGAATAAATTTATCTAAATATCTACTCTAATCTAGCTATATGCAAGATGGGAGCCAGGTAAAGCGGACTGTTCTTAAAGAACATCAGTATTCAAGAGTACGCAAGCTTCAAGTACTCGCTCTTCAAGTTCAAGAACAAAAAATTAAGTCGAAAAAATATAAACTACAAAACAGTTAAGAATAAATGCATTTTTCCATTTTACTGTAATGGTAAACAAACAAATGCACGAAATGGCTATCAATTTGAATTTATAGCGAAGATCTAAGATCAATTTTTACAGTCAAATAATAAAATAAATGAAATTATTAGTTGATATTCAGTTATTTTCGTTTCATCCAACTAATTTACGTTTGTCAGCACACGTCCAAATTCAAAACAACTTCCTTTGAATTTCCTCATTCAGTAGTCTCTGCTTCATACCGCCCGCTTGGCAGCTCGACCATGAAATAATTCATGCGCAATTATCGAGTTTACGGACCCCGCGGAATCAAATTTATAATCCGGAACATCCTTTGATTGTTCATCATCAAGAAATGTGGATGGTACATTTTCTCTTGGAATTTGATCGTAAAGCATGCCCGTTTAAATTTGTGCACTTATATTTGAGAACGCAAAACTGAGCAGCGATTTACTGCGAACAATAGTTAATGCGCATATTAGCCAATGAACAGCAGTATGACGAGGCTAACTGTTCGAGGATGGAAATATTAGCAAACCCTACTTTTTCTTCAACGTGTTACAACAATAAGGAGATACCAAACTATAAACCTAGTTTAACTATAATTTTTCTGAACAGCAGACACCTCTTTACTGGTGCGATATTGATAGCATATTCAGAAGTGCAACTATGCAGCGCTACCAACAAGGCTATCTACAATTCTCAATGATTTAGCCCAAAGCGACGACAGCAGAATTTCCAATATTGGTTACGTGCGAAACGGAAAACAACATGCCGCCACGTTGCGTTTTTCTGTTACAACAAAGGTTCTAATACTCTTTTTTTAAATCCGTCTTCACGTTTTATATAGCTGCGCAAAACGTCTACCTTAACTAACAATTCTCACAAGAAATAAGAACAAATTTTTATTCGACTTCACTGTCATTTAACTAGATATATTTGTTTGGCTGCAAAACGACGATTAAAATCTGCCCAAAACAGTAGGCGATCAAATCTGGTTCAGCTGCATTTGTATTCAATTCTTTTTAAAGATTCTGCACTTCGTGGCTGAAAATAAAGCAAGCAGCAATAACAACTACGGACAAAAATTCGCGTAGGAGCCAGTCTTAAGTTAAATGACTTCTGACATGAGAATGCGATTTAAAATCTTTGGCAAGAAACTGGTAACGAACGTGAATCACAATGTTGGCCAATTCGAAAATGTAGACTACAGATTACAGCAGCTCTGACCATTAAATTTCAGATTTGAAGGCCCTGAAATTTTTTTCAGTTGTGGTTGGTCAGCAATGGACAGTGACACCATGACTTTATGGATTGCTCAGCCAGTTCACCACGTGAAGCTTTCCGGTTAAAAAATAAAAATTTGTCCACAATGGGGCTGCTGGTGCATTTTTTGTTACGTTCTTCGTATAGAAGTTCCCTGCATCAATCGTGTTCGTCCAAAATAGCTATTCCCTTAAACCGCTTAACACTGGCATCAAGACCAATAACTCAGAAAAAACTGTAGCCTGAAGATTCAGACTTTAACTTCGTTGTGAATTTGTTATGGGATAGCAAACTACTTTTTGATAGTGAACAGAAAGTACACAGCATTCACCGTCACCGTCATCTGAAACTGTCAGCTGCAAAACCTAACTCTAAATTGCTGAATTTTAGTGATATTTAACAGCAAATATTTACGAATAACGTCGTGCCAGATACATAACAGGCACCAAAATCTGCAAAAAAAAGATGGAAAAGTCAACATTTATTTAAAATAAAGCTGCATGTTTATAACTTATGCCTAACATTGTGCTAGGAAAACAAATATAATCAGGTAACCGAAAAGACGAAAAATGACTGAATGTTTCATAGGCCGACAACATTTGCTCGTTAATTGCTGTCGTTAAAGACACATTGCGGGAAAGATGATTCCAAAACAATATCTAAATCCTACCTGACTTTTTGTTCACAACTACTTGTAATGTAGCCTTCATTTTCTTGACACAGCTCCATAGTCATTGTTAAAACTTAGTAACAAGTACTGCATCATTTTCAGTTCATCGCTACCGCATCAAAAATTATCGGCGACTTATGCTTCAACATATCTTGAATTCCAATTCTTACGATGTATCCTCGTTGGCAGAATACTGCGGTGGTAATGAAAGCTGCTGTGTTGCCTAACTTTACAAATATGAAAATACTATAGACATATCACGAACAGCAGTTATATCCAAGACACCAATATGAAGCGGTCTTAAGCCTTAGGCAATTGTTGTTGGCGAAGGTTCGCATCGACAGAGTGCTGGAGTGATAATCATTCTGTCCGAATGTACCACACGGTATTTGATTGGGCTCATGATACGGATTTACAGTATAAATATGCAGACATTTGAGAGGAGCATCAACAAGTACTGAAAGCCGTAATGATCGGCTTCATCAGCTGCAGGTAGCAAAAATTGCATTTTTTTACTTAACGAGTTGCAAGACGTCACCCATTGGCTTGAGATCGTCGACCACCTATGAAAAGTGCAGTGAACCTTGGAACCAAAAATCGTATTGCCTGCCTTAAATTCACAGCCCGTCGCAGAGATGATTTCTTCGATGCTGACGCCCTCAGCGATCTCGGTAAGCAAAAGACCGTCTTCCGGATCAACCCTAAAGACGCACTTTTCGGTAATGATCATGTCCACTACGCGCCGGCCAGTCAACGGCAACTGGCAGTTGCCCACAATCTTCTGTTTGCCCCCTTTCGCCAAATGTTCCATGCAGACCACGAGCCTTGTATGTCCGCCAACACTGCGAGAGGCGCTTGCGAAATCAAATGCAGCACCCATACCCTTGATCATCTGACTCTACCGAAATTACGTGTTGATTAAAACGCGACCCATGTATAACAGCGAAAAAGTTACCGGTATGAACCAACTTGCCAGATCGCCAAACTGGGATACCTCCATCGCACCCATGATGGCTAAATCGATTTTACCGCTATAATAAAATGTCACTGATTATAACAGAACAAAGAAAGACATAATCATATGTAGCATTTACAATTCCAGTGATATGCTAATGATATAAACTTAACGATGCAACAATATACTTTAAAGTCTCGCCCAACGTACCAACAAAAACGAGAGGATATCTCTCTACGAAGCACAGAAAAACCTACATATACAAAAAGTCTTAGTGATTCATCGACTATCATTCGTAGTGACAGAAAGACGAAAAATTACCTTCTATGAAACAAAGAGTGGCAGGTCAAGTATAAACTCAGTACCTACTGAACACTGGCATTCTATTACGGAAGTTGATATCTGAACTAAATAGTCACGGAATCAGACTAAATACTCTAGTAAAGATTGTTGCGACAAAATACTCAGCCTAATTTCTTGTACGATCCAGTGGATAACAGATGCGAAAACAGTCTCAGTGAAATGCGACTGCTTTACCGAATATGAATGGTGGAAATAAGCGAAGTAAACGACGAAATGTGACGAAGAAACAATCATGAAGTTATGAGGAAATAACAAGAGATGCTACAACCAGCAGAACACGTAGTCAAACGAAGTTAATTCCAAATTCACCTTCGTATCATCGCGAAACTGTCGACGGTAGAAAAATATGCCGCGCCAGGCTTAACAGTTATCGATTCTTTGGCGGCATTAATCAAATCTGGATCCTCTTCTCCAGGAACAGGATAAGAACCCTGAAAAAAATATGCAGTAATTCAGAGATTCCTCAGCTGCTAGAAGTACAGTAGAACAATGACAAAAATTTGCTAGATTTCTAAGGATTATTATTTCAATCAACTTCATGGCAATCAGCGCTAACCATGCTCTTTCCGTTTTCTAAGAAAGATCTGTAGAGGAAAATGACACAACGATTAGAAATATAGGCGGAAGGACTGACAGACATTGTGCATATTAATTTCCCAAAGAAATGACTGGGGAACTTTCTGACCATGCTATGACCCTCCATCCTCAGAAGAGGGGATGAGACTCTTGCACAAAATGCAAAGAAAAACACTTTCTGTGACACCTGGATGGTGAAATCTTAAGATATCAAATAACCGTGCCTAATTTGTAATCTCATAAACTCATCTTTCTGAAAAAAGGATAGCAGTCGCCAGTTATAAATTATGAACATAGTAATCATAACTGCACCATATAATGCCATACAAATAATCTTTTGCAAGGACAGTTCGACCAGATTGGCGCATTACAAACGTAAGCCCATCGCAAAAAGCAGTAAGCAATAACGAAGTTTGGGGTTCGCATGTAAGGGAAAAGGAAAACTAGATAGAGCGTTTTCTTCAACCATGCTGCTGCTGTAACCGCTTGCATAAACACAAATTCT